CCTAAAGTTAAAAAACAAGCAAAGTGTGGGAACAGTTTCTTAAAACAAAAGATAAAACCATAAAATGCAGAATATGCAAGGTTGATTTAGGATTCCATGGCAGTACAACGGTAAGGAGAACTAGCCTCCCCATCCCAATCCCATGGTTAGTCACAGTACTGGGGTAACTGCAGAATAGAAAACCGATAGCCTGGCCAGCAATTAACATTTGTGCAAAAAGGTTACTATTAGGCAAATTCACATCACAAACTTTTCCTTACTAAGCAACTAGGTGTGGAGTTGTATTGAATTTATAATTTACAAATTAATGGCGTTCGGTGGCGTGTGCGGTGTTCTGATAAACTGAGCTACCCCTAGTTCAAACGGTCAGAGTAGTTTGTCAGAATGAGCTACCCTTACCAAAATCACTAAAGCTTTCCATATCCTATCAAATTATACAAGTCATTAGAATAGGTTTCTGAATAATTAGAAGTATTTAGCAATGGCAAAATACAACAAGTTCCCACTCATTTGTCTATTAGCCTAAAATGAGCAGAGTGGCAGTTCAACTTAACATGCTATTGCAGCATATTTTTGGTTTGCTTAACTCTCACCATATGGATAGTAATCTTTTCAAAGAACTGTACAAGAAAAGAGATAATGCTTAACATCCTATCAGAAATAAATATGGGCTACTTTGAAAAATTGTTTATCAGTAGCTCACCCTGTTATAGTGCTACATCAATTGGGTTACTTAAAATTATTTAGCCTAAAAACAAATAGCTCGTCCTGTAAACCTATTCATGCATACCTCATCTTGTGAGCTACCGTCATATAAAGCTCATCTCGCGAAATCAAAATAAGATCAGAATAGACTAGTGTTAATCCGCTTAAATGATACTGCAGCCGAGAAAAATATAATCTACATGGTTATTATTTATCAATGTTTATCAGCTCATATTAGCAAATCCTAAAGTCAATCGAAACATTTACTTGCTGCTGTTCTGTTCAGTTGGATTTCAAGTGACTTATTTGAAGTTTATTTTGAACTTTGAGCTCATTTGAATCCTTATTTGAATTTATATTTAACTCTGAACATTTTGAATTTTATTTTTGTACAAAAAGAATAAGTTTTTTTCCTGAAATTTAAGAATGAAAAACAATGCAGTAAGAAGTAAGACGTAAGACGTTAATGAAGTTAAGTTAAAACTTTTGAAAAGTTTTGTTTCTAATTATTTTATTGAATAAAGGTATGTGGGTACTGAACAATGCCAAACATTATTTGTCAAAGCCTCTCATTTACAAGTCATAATTTTTTGCTAAGCCGATTAATCATTGTAATATTCGCCTGAATAATCCATTATCAAAATATTCGTTTGTTGCAGTCCTAATCTCACCTAAAAGAAATTTGAGCAGGACTTTTTTGGAGAACTTGCTGATTTGAATGAGTATGTTGAAGTTAATTCAATTGTATCAACTTCAAAAGGGTTTGGCTGACAAATACTACTTGTTAACTCATTATGCAGATCAGGCACAAATATTTCTGGAGCAAAATGTCTGATACACAACCCATAATTATACATCATACATCACACTGAATCTCGTAGGGAAAATTGTCGATGGGACCAACATCAGTGCCCATGCTTATTACCCATCTCCTGACTAGTTGAATATTTCTTGGAAAAGGAAACTGACATTTCAGCTGATCTAATCCTCTGTTTTGTATGTGACCATTGTGTTCTGAACAACCTAATGTTCAACAGTGATGCATTGTTTAAAATAAACACATGTTCAAAAAGACAAAAAATATTAATGTTGTTAGGCAATGTTTCTCATTTGCTTACAGCGACTGGTGAGCAGAAAGGGTCTTTCACGTCTCAATTCACCCAAACAGCCAGCAGCTACTGTATATCAGCCTGCAACGCACAGCTGACAACCCACTGAAGCTAAGCAGGTGTGAGCCTGGTCAGTACATGTATGGGAGACCTAATGGAAAAAAAACAAGGTTGCTGATGGAAGTGGCATTAGTGGGAACACTAGGGGTGTTATCCCAGCGTCCTGGCCAAATTTCCCATTGGCCTTTACCAATCATAGCCTCCTAATAATCCCAGAAGAGATCTATATAAATGTAAGGAAATTATTACTAAACTCTCAATCTCAGTCGTGGCAAGACCAGCAGTTTCACATCTGGCAGCAACAACAACATGGCAACCTTACAGTACTTTCACAAAGTTCATGCTCTTGCACTTAATTCAAAATTAGTCAAATGCTGTGATACCGTTAATTAATTTGTTACTGACATTTAATAGTCGGTGTGAGAAATGGAAACTGCAGTTCCCCTTTAATCCTCAAATTACTGGCAGAACACCTTTGAGGAACTATCCAATTTGAATGAGAACGCATAAACAAAAAGAAAAGGCTGAACTAGTTTTCCTGTAGACAGGCAAATGTTGAAATAGTAGAGAACCACAGAAATCTATATCAGGACCAGTTATCCTAATTTCATATTCTAGCAATGTTAAACTACACAGGTTTGCAGACTAAACCCAAATAAAGAGGATTACCTAACACTGTAGATGTAGCAAAAGGAATTCAAAAAGGTTTAGATAACATTCAGAGACGGACAGACACCTTGTAGATGGCATCACAGAGCAGGGATGTGCAAGTAGGCATTAAAAACTGATTTCCGGGGAAACACTGAGCTAGAAGAGACCACTTAAGATGTTTATGCTGAAATATTACTTACATCTACCAGACAATGGTATTTTTATATAACAACAATTTTTATAAATACATGTTTTATTGGGGAAGCACTAAAAAGGCAAACAAAATGTGAGGCTACAGATTTAAAATGGAATACAAATCAAGGGATATCGTGTAAAATTCTATAACATATTAGACAGGTATCTTCATGTACAATTTTGGTCACCATGCTCTTTTGGAGTTAAACCAGAGAAAAGCAACCAGATGCATTCAGGGACTTTAAGGAATGTCCTACATTGACAGGATGAAATGAACTGAACCTTTTAAGTCTAGAACAGAGAAGACTATACGGGGAGCTGATGCAAGTATCCAAAATTCTCACAGACACTGACAAAATCAAAGACAGCAGACATCTTCAGAATAAACAGTGAAACACAAACTAGAGGGCAGAAGTTGAAACTATGTGGAAGTGCATTTAAAAACATGAATAGGAGGTGCTTTATCCACAAAAGGGATTGGGTAGCTTGTTCCATACTCCCACGTCGTGTGATTGAAGCCAATACTTCCAATTGAGTTAGATGAGCCATAAGGCCTCCTCTCAGTTGTAAACTCTCCTGTTAGCATTACCCAATTTCTATGGGTTTACCCATATAAATTGTCCCAAAACTATATGATAATTGAAAGTATATTCATAGCATGATCAAATTATGTTTTCATTTAGCTCAAATTTAAGAACCTGAGTGGAAATTAATTTTAAAAATATAAATGTTTATAGCACATCAATCAGATCTATTGCAAATCAGGTATGAGATCATATAAATATTGACATATATAATATTACTACCAATATATTACTACCAAAACATGTCAAATTTGCTTAAAAGATTCATACCTAAAGAATTAACGCAGAAGATTGTTAACAAGGTTTCCCTCTTTCCAAGCCTAAGCTTTCCAATCTCTATACTAGCTACCATTTCTCATTCTACCTCCTATCTCCATTCTGCAACAAGCGCCTAGCAACTTTGTGTAAGGACTCTAACAGACAAAATAAACTATCTTGAAGAATCTATTAACAGGTTTAGTAAAAGTAATAGGCCACTGCCAAAACATTGCGTTTTCTTTCTTCTTTTCAGCATGGAATAAACCTATTTTACTTGTTCCTTCGCAGCCTAAGCATGCTGACGCAGCTGCCCACCTGAACTATCTTGAAGGATCTGCTGAATTTGTTTGCTATTCTAAAAAAACATTTTTACCCTTTCCTTACACATGATAAATAACTCAACTTAACTTGACTTATACCATTTATTTTGCGATTTCTACTGTTCAAATCCATGTTGCAACAACAATCAAATGCTTATTGCACAGTGTTTCTATTGTTGGGTGTGTGTCTAATTCTGGCTTAGGGATTCCTTTAGTTGGAAATTAATACTGTAATAGCCCATCACAGGGCATAAACACACACATACTCACATCAGGGCCAGTTTTTCCCAAAAGCAAAATAACCTACCAGTATGTCTTTGGACCGTGGGAGGGAAACAAAGAACCCGGAAGAAATCCATACAAACACGGAGAGAACGTACAAACTCTGTGCTGATAGCACCACAGATCCGTTGAACCTAGGACCACTTATTTAATTAACTTTACTTAGTTCTTGAAGATTTTTTTCCCTAAAACGGCAAGGTTCTACTCTTTCAGAAGTAAACCAATTTAAATAAATCTATATAAAAACTGCATTTGGTTATGTTTTAGAATTACTGGGAAAGAAAGTTTATTGTTTATGAAATGTTAATACGACAATTGAGGAATCATTTTCTAGAGAAAAGTATAGTTTCCCCTTTGCTCTTCCCTATATGCAGGACATAAAATAGGGATAATTGCAAACGGGCAAGAGCAGGGATAGAAATCGTTCAGCACCAGTTTACTTTGTTGTATCAAGATTGCTTCAAAAATCGTGTGAACAAGCTCTGTCGCCCTTTTCACAAGTAAATGTACCGTTTCTTTAAAACTACTACACGGTCAGCCATTTTCAAGAAAAGGTAAAGCCACACGAAATAAAACTCATGTGAATAACGATATTAGGCCGCATATATACACATTTCTGGTGCATGCAATAACCAGGTTTTACAGCTAATCGTTCTAATCTTGTTCGATATAAGTTTACATATCTATAATGACATTGCTCGTGTAATTAAATCAAAAGAAAACTAAAGACTAATCTTATTTATCTCAATTTTTTCCAACGTAACGCGAATTATATTTGAAATGGGGCATAGTCCCTGTAAACTTTTTTAAAGCTGCAGAAATAAAAATAAATTTACCATTAAATCTGCGTTTGCACCGAATCGAACATTTGGTTTCTTCTTCAGAATCGATTTTAAGTTGTTCCTTGATATTTTCTTCAACATCTTTAACTCCCGTCCTTATTACACAGGGCAGAAAAAAAACCTTTTTTTCCAACTGCTGTTTTTATACAGTGAGATTTGCCGCTACAAACAATTCAAACTCCCTCCTTACTACCGGCGCACTATATGACGTCACGCCAGGGGAGGGGGTCTCAATGGTGTGCATTTTTTATACTGACTAGTGTTGCTTAGGATATTTCAGTTGGTATATACTGTAGCATTGAAATGTACCGAATAAAAATGTATTCCTTATATACATCTTTTTTGGCATTAAGTTTCCTGTAAAGTGTTTTTAAAGACTGTATTTTAAAATGGGGTATAAGATACCCCCCAATAATTATTTTTCTCTTTTAAATTATTGTGTATGTTTGTGGAGGTGGGGAGATTAATTGAAATGACTTTGATTTCTTTACATGCATGTTAACATTATAGTCAGGATGATCATTTGATAAGGACTAGAAAACCAGTCCTGAAGACACATAGCTGCGTTGTTGATTAATTAAAAAAATATATGTAAAACAATATGTAATATGTAATAATCTCCTGTACGACTGATTGGGGTAAATTTATGCAAACATAAAAATGTTATACAAGTACTTTGAAGGTCAATATACAGGAGTTCCTAAGTTCTAAATTCTAAGATTTTCTCTGGGTTACTGGTCTTACTTATTTTTGCAATTTTATTATTCTCACCATTGTTCTACATCTTATGTTTGCACTATATACTGATCTTGTTGGTAATTTTTAATAATGAAAACAGCTCTTACAAATTTGCAGTTGTAACTGCTGAATAGATTCTTAATCCCTACAAAGATGGTATTTTAGTTTTCAAAATATTTCTAGTTTTCATAATTCATGTTTGCCTTGTGAATGACTTTGTTTACTTTTTTATTCATGTTATGTTACAAGCAGCATACCTGTTAATTATTGCAACTGATATTAGGCTTACAAAAATATAAATAATAAGGTTTAAAAAAATTAATTCAGTGAAATTAGAAAAACAATCACCATCCAGGTCTAGGCAAACAACTGGTAAATTAACAAGTAATAGGTTTATTCCATGCTGAAAAGAGGCTTCTATTTTCAGTGTGGAATAAACCTATTACTTGTTCCTTTGCAGCCTACGGATGCTGATGCAGCTACTCACCAGAACTGGTAAATTAGACATGTATTATACACTTATTGTTGTACATTAAAAATACAAAATAGGTGGCACTGAGCTGATCCAGACAGTGTGGCAATGCTGTAATCCAGTATATATTGTTTAAATCTAGATCTGAAGTACAGAGAGGTTGTATTAAACTTCTACAGTGTATTGGTAAAACCTTGCATAGCTGCATTGGAATCAGTCCAGAGAAATTTGACAAGGCTAATGCCAGGCATTAAAGGATTGATGGCTTACACTGACTTCTTAAAGCAACCAAATCTCTTTAGTTTTTAACAAAAAATGCTGTGTGGGAACATATTTCAAGTGTTCAAAATCCTGAAAGGCAATGGTCTTCAAGAGCAGCACTGAAATACGCAACAACAGTTACAAACGAGAGGAGGCCATTTGGCACATCCAGGCCGTTTGGTGGTTAGCAGCTAATTGATCCAAGAGTCATTTCTTGAAAGAAACAAGGGTATCGGTTATTCCCAGAATGTTTCTAGTTGCTCTTATCTGGATGGATTCCAGACCAGAACTATCTATTTTATACTGTAGTAACCACAATTATAGCAGCAATATTCTAATTGCGGCCTTATACTGCATATGCATTACACAATTTCAACATACCTAGTTTACATCATTAATATAAATTAAGAAGAGCAATGGTCACAGTACTCATCCTTGCAGTACTCCTCTAAATACATCATTTTGAGTAATACCTCTTATCTATAGGCTCTGTTTTGTGAGTTTAGGAGATACTTCTTTACACAGATCGGTATGAGAGTCTATAACAAGCATCTCAGCCAAATTGTTGAAGTTGCTGGTTTCTTTAAAGAAGTAATCAAACAGGTATACTCTACTAACAATCCAAAAAGGTAGATTGGCTAAATGCTCTCAAATTTATTATTTATAACTTTTACTATGTTTTAATTTAGGAATTTTATGATTCTGTAACCATGATTCCTAAGACTGAACACTGCAAAAGCATTTTAAATGCATTTAAATTGAAGGTCCTTTATAGAATATTGATTTCAAAGGCCATGTAACTTAGGTGAGCACTTTACTAAACATAACGTCTACAAATTGAAATACACTGAAGCCACAGGTTATATTTGCAGAGGTTTTTAGCATATTTCTTAGACATTTTGCACCTGAAAGTAAACTAAACCAGCCTTTCTTTGAAAGTCTATCATGCCTTTCAGAAAACTTAAGATTATAGACAATATTGGTTCATAGGTTTCCAAATATGAACTATGCTTTACATCTGTAAAACATTTACAGCATTAAAAAGAAATTAATAAATAATATAGACCTAAGACTGAGCCAAAAATTGCAGCCAGTTTTAATAGCATATGTTTCATGTTTCCTATTAATTTTTCTAGACTATCGCATTTGGCAAGATTTTAACTGAAAAAGAGCAGCCTTAAGGACATATATCATGTCAACTTATAAAAGTATCAATTCAGCATTTTTATCACAGTTCAGTACAGCCTGAAGTGTAAATGTATCCATGTAGTATAAAAATGCTATGTAATGTAAAAATATACAAAATAGCTGCACTTTGCATTAGACATGTTATTAACCTTGAACTTACAGTACATGTTACTAGATTGTACAGTTCCCATGGAGACATCATGGTGAGTGTCATTATAATGTACATCAACATCACATCAACTTCAAAGCAAAACATAAAATGCCAGTTCAGATAATTGTGGTTATGCCTTTAAAAACAAAACAAATTCATACCCTCTTTGTATAAACAGAAAATAAATAATGCCAAACAGCATTCATAGGGTGGTGACTTCAAAGGAGGGTACAATTTGTTGTAATAAATTTGGATATTTATAAATAAGGAAAATCATTATCAAAATCATTCTAATGTAATTTTATATCATACTACATTATTCGAAATACATACATATCAATTCATAATTATTAATGATGGGGTAATTACATCCTCTACTTTTAACCTGTATGTAACATTTTAACAAAAATAAAACTAATACAAACTATTGAAAGTTTCATACTTGTAATATCATATACATTATATCACTTGATCTGTATAAGCAAAAATACATGTATACTTTAATAAGCAAAATAAAAAGTGTATAAGTTTGTATTGTGTTTATAAAAAGAATTGATTTCACATCTGTAAATAATACTAATATGTATTTCTAAATATGAAAGTGTTCACAGAAATTAACATTCCAGCAATTTCTGGAACTTTTGATTCAAGAACTGGGGCCATCTTTTACCCGTTTCCTAGTTTCAGGTTTCTGTTATTATTTAATCACAACTTCATCTAGAACCTTCCCAGTTCTACCAGGTTCTCAGTGCTAGAGAATTGATGTCATATAAAGAACATTAACATCATTGTCAATTAGTAATTTGATTGCAGACTGATACATGCTTCTGATTGTTATTTTTCTGAAAACCAATTTTCTAGTTACTGATATACAGTATGATAGACACCAGTTTCATGAGGTTCATATGAATATGTTTCCCTTCTTCAATCAATCTTTAATTACACTTTATCAAAGGTAAATAAACTGTAGCTCTGGAGGAAAGTGGAGCAAATACTACAAAAAATTGCATTGCATTTTTCATAAATGTATGCTTTTATCGTTGATGATAAATTTGCTGGAATGCCTTTACTTCGAAGCAACAATTAAGATATTTTCTGTCGCTCTGCTTCTCATTTGTGTAGAGTTTTTATTGGCTAACAGAAAGGGAAACCTGCTCTTTAATGAAGGCAATTTGAGTGCTGCATATGGCATCACATATTTTAACTATAAGGTTATGTTTTTTTTAATGAATAAAAGCTTAAATGTAGTTTAAAAGGAAACAGACTTGTACATAATTGCTGTAGATTAGTAAATCAGTGAGCAATCAGCTATGCTAACTCAGCATTAGTATCAGTGTGAAAGAAGATATCTGGTGTTAAATGACAGGAACACTACTTTTTTTACTAGTAGCATTAACAGTATGTTGACACTGAGGCCTGGATTACAATCAAACCTTGGGTTAAAACTTATTGTGTGCTAGTCACAAAAATCAGATGTATTAAACAAAAGCAAGAAACATCTGCCAGACAATAAGGAGTCATCAGATCACAAAGGTTATACCATATGGGTTAAAATAGGTGATTAATCCTTGCCTGAATTAGATTTTCTATTTATATATAATTTTAGTGAAAAGGCCACTAATGCAAGGATTGCTGTAAAGTGGATCTTTATGAATTCTTAAACCAAGTCAAAGTTATAAGTCATAAAGTGAAACGTTTAACAAAATACTGTTATATTTCAAGCAATACAAACATGTAATGCCATGACTATTACATTTAATTTAAATTACAGTTTAGTTTTATGATGTCTTTTCATTTATTTCAAGTAAGTTTGCTGTTGTTGCATACTACTTTGCAGTATAGCACACTCATGAGCCCTGCACAATGACATTTTTCAGCCTCTACTTGTCGCATACAGGTGTAGAGAATTAAAAGCAGCTGATGCTAAATAAATATTATCTGGAATGGAAAACAAACCTTTAAGTGAAAACACAAAATCTTTCACAACACACACCTGCAAGTAGAAACAAAGAAAATCAAAAGATTAGAAAATATCAGATGATATTGACTAGACACCTCATAAACAAGCTAATTTCTTTTTCAGAAGCTGAATCAGCTTCTTTTTTATTTTTTCCAATACCTTCAGTCTTAGAGTGGGTTTATAAATTGCCATTATGCTAATTTTTCTCATTCATTTTTTATTGTTAGCAATATTTTTGCCATAATATGACAAGTGATAATTAAACATCTTTCACTTAATCGAGCTGAAAAACTGAAAATTGAAATTTACAGACTACAGTAAACACTGCATCCTCCAGACTGATGCACTAGAGATGTGGGCAGTTTTAGCCCAGGAACAAGCACATTGTTTATCCCCAGTGGAGAAAAGATACCCTGCCCGCACAAGGTTTCAAC